GAGTGGAGACAACGACTGTCGCAACCGAGGGCCGGGCACGCTACCATAGCAGCGGTAAGACCCCTCTTTGAGGAGTGGCTTGAGAGACGCCACGGCGTCCTCACCTTCCGTCTGACGCAGGTGCTTACCGGGCACGGCAGCTTCGGTAGGTTCCTGTTTCGGATTCAGCGGGAGGAAACGCCCGAGTGTCGTCATTGTGAGGACCACCTAGAGGATACGGTGGAGCATACGGTAGCGGTATGCCCTGCCTGGGCTGAGCACCGCCGTATCCTCAGGGAAGTGATCGGCGGCGGCGACCTCTCGCGCCCGGCCTTAGTCGAGGCCATGGTGCGGAGTGAGAGGAACTGGGACGCCGTCTCCTCCTTTTGTGAAGCAGTCATGCTCGCAAAGAGAGAGGCGGCCCGCGTGAGGGAGCAATCCTCCTCCTCACGCCCCAGCAGCCGCAACTGGCGACACTACGGGCGTCGGGGATCGAGGGACGATCTCCGGCCACCGTAAGTACGGGCCTGCGGTCGGCGAGTAAGGGCAGCTCGCCGCCCGACCAGAACCAGGCCCGAGCGTACGGCGCGTAGCGTTCCGCGCGCGCCTCAAAGAGCCAATAGACCACCACAGACGGGGCCCTAAAGGGCTGATGTTCAGCCGGGGTTGCGGGGTAAGCGCAATAAGGTACCGCGACCTCGGCACAGAGCAGGAGAAGGAACAGGGGGGTTTTTAGTCAGTAAGAGTCTGACACTCCCTCCTGCCCGGCCCTGGGCGGGAGAAGTCATTTGATGATTTTCCCCTCACAAAAAAAAAAAAAAAAAAAAAAAAAAAAAAAAAAAAAAAAAAAAACACCACGTTAGATTTATAGGGCTTCATATATCATACACATATGAAATTTTTACCCGGACGTTTGCTTTTTGATTACCAGTTATCTGCGTTCTGACAGTTTGAGTACTTGCGCGATTCACCCAAATGTTCTTTAGATCGGTATTGTTCGTCGGACAACTCAGCAGCACTAGCTATACTGGTTGCAAACTGACACTTGCGTGCCTGTATTCAGAACGGGTCCACTTAAAATGGTATGGTTCTTTCATCAAAAGACCACTACAGAATGAACTTGCACGATTCTCTCACATTATGTTATTTTTACATTGTCTGGACTTGAAAAGAGACTGACCTCTGAGTTTGTTTCGGCATTTCTTCTCAGAGTAGTCAGATAGGAAATGTCAGTTTCATCTAGTTTTTCACATATAATATGACGTGTAAAAGTGCCGATTAATGGCCTATTTGTAATAATAAATTCATTGTTTCATTGTTTCACTATTAATTCAAATCATCACTAAAAAAAATTTACGAAACACAATATGTTCGCGCATAACTACCGAACTGCTGAATCAAAATGGATAGCTCTAGTACAAGATAAGTATGAAGAAAATTACACATTTTGGAGAGTCACGCTATTGACTACATAGTATAAAACAAAGTCGCTTTCTCTGTCCCTATATCCCCATGTACGCTTAAATCTTTAAAACTACGCAACGGATTTTGATACATTTTAGTTTTTCCTTATTACATAACAATACTTGTTATATAATGATCTTATTAATGCAGTCAGTTTAGTTTTTGTATGGAGTCCACCGGGTCAGCTAGTTGTCAATAAATTCACTATGTTTGAAGACAATTACTGTACAAAAAAATATATGTAAGGGTGTCCGGTAATGAATGGGCAACTTTGAAATGCTATACTACTTAAATCTTATGATAAATAAGAAAAAACATATCTAAAATAATACCTAAGTTCTGATGTCTTGAAGTAAAAGAACTAGTTATAGAAGAAAAAGAAAATGATCGTTAGTAATTCATGTAGGTACATTAGATTCCACCCAAGACTTTAAAACCAGGGATGATAAGGAGAACCGTAACCGAAACTATCGGATATCCTTAACCGTAACCGAATCCGAAATAAATGTTTCGGATAATATCGGATAGGGGCGGAGCCTAATTGAGACACGTTGTGTTTGTATTTTACTACATTACATTTTGACTGCACGGTTGGCGCAGTGGCTGGGCAACTGGCTGCCGCGCAACGTGTCGCGGGTTCGATTCCCGCACGGAACAACTCTTTGTGTGATCCACAGATTGTTGTTCCGGGTCTGGGTGTTATGTGCATGTGAAATTGTATGTTTGTAAACGCACCCACGACACAGGAGAAAATCCTATTGTGGGGCTATTGCTTAAAAAAAAACTTGAAATTACTAAAAATTTTAACATCCGTAACCGTTAGTTAGTTATCCGAAACTAACATATCTTAGTTACTACATTGCTGCAAAACTAAGTTACGCCCAATTTTTATAAACTATAAAATTTTTCGTAAATCTTCTCCTCCTCCAATCCCTTATCCACAAAAGGTCGGCAACGCACTCGTAACTCCTCCGTTGCGGGTGTCCATGGGCGGCGCTGATTGCTTACTATCAGGTATACGTCTGCCTACTAGTTTGCCGACATATTACATAAAAACATATCTATATTTTTTTTTTCTAAATGCTCATAACTAGGTATGTCATAGATATAAAAAATCGGATATAGATACGGATATGAAATTATTTCGAATTATCCTATTCCATATTAAAATTGTAAAATACAAATACAACGTGTCTCAATTAGGCTCCGTCCCTATCCGATATTATCCGAAACTTATTTCGGGTTCGGTTACGGTTCCGGATATTTTTTTATATCGGATATCCGACAGTTTCGGTTACGGACACGGAACTCCCTGACATCCCTGTTCATAACATATTATATTACTAGCTTTTGCCCGCGACTCCGTTTGCGTGGAATAGTGACATCCTGTGGATTTTTGGTACAAAAACTATCATATATCCTTTCTCGAGTTCCAAACTATGTCTGTATCAAATCTCTTAGAAATCGGTTCAGTAGTTTAGGCGTGAAGAAAAGACAGACAGACAGAGTTACTTTCGCATTTATATTATTAAAAGTCATTTCAAATGTATCCATTCATTACCGGCGACTCTGAAAAAGTAATTGTGGTCCTTACAATAACAAAATAGTATCACAATAAATATATCATGCAATATACAAAGTACATATTTTTTTATATACTTCTTGCAGATCTTGGGTAGAATCTGGAATATTGGGTGGCACTGGATCCACACGATGACGAGTTTGGAATATTCTTTTGGCTCTCCCTGTTCCAGTTTCGAACCACCTCGATTGGGTAGTTTCCTATGTCAAAAACCAAATTAATTCGACGTCTCAATACAAACTGATACTTGCTTGCCTTTTTTTTATGTAATAGACCAGCAAACGAGCAGGCGGATTACCTGATGGTAAGCAATCAGCGCCGCCCATGGACACCCGCAACGGACGAGTTACGAGTGCGTTGCCGACCTCTTAGGGATTAGTGTTTTGTTTGGAGATTAAGAGATTGGGGAGGGTTAGGTGGAGGGGAACGATTGGGCCTCCGGTAACCTGACTCACACGGCGAAACACAACGCTGTGGTTGTTTTACGCCGGTTTTCTGTGAGGCCGTGGTATCAAAATAGTAGACAGATAGGAAATGCCAGCTTCATCTAGTTTTTTTTTTACATATAATTTCTTACGTGTTAAATTACTGTTTATGTAGTATGGCTTATTACCAAAAATACAATCATTCTTTCCTAATTTTTAACCGAATACAAAAAATGAAGGTCCTTACTTAGACCTATATTTGTGTTTTTACGCGATTTTCTAACGATTAGCTGAACCCATTTTGACGGGACTTTAGCCCAAATGTGTGTGTTTCCATTTTATTAAGTGATATAGCGGGAAACCTCACGGAACCCCTCCCCCAGACCTGATGGTAAGCAATCGGCGCAGCCTATCGACATCCGCAGCAACTAAAGAGTTAATTCAGGGGAAGGCGAAGGATTGGGCCTCCGGTAACCTCACTCACACGGCGAAACACAACGCTGTGGTTGTTTCACGCCGGTCTTCTGTGAGGCCGTGGTATCAGTACGGTCGAGCCGACCCATTCGTGCCGAAGCATGGTGAAAAGCGATGATGCGACCTACGATGGACCACGTCTACCCATAAGCAACCTATTCACTCGGGCTTTGAACACACCCAGGTTCACACACAGATGTTGTACAAGACAAATTATAGTATATCTAGCTTTTGCCCGCGACTTTGTTCGCGTGGAATAGTGACTTCCTGAAACTATCCTATGTCCTTTCTAGAGTTCCAAACTATGTCTGTACAAAATTTCAGAGAAATCCGTTCAGTAGTTTAGGCGTGAAGAAGAGACAGACAGACAGAGTTACTTTCGTATTTACAATATTAGTTTGGATGATAATCAATCGCTATGCAGGTGAATGTAAGTAATACTAAGAGATGTATAGATTTACAACATATAGTTACGCGGGTAATAGATCGGCAAACAAGCAGGCGGATTACCTGATGGTAAGCAATCAGCGCCACCCATGGACACTCGCAACGGAGGAGTTACGAGTGCGTTGCCGACCTTTTAGGGATTAGGGATTTGGAGATTTAGGGATTAAGGAGGGATTGGGGGAGGGGAAGTATTGGGCCTCCGGGAACCTCACTCACACGGCGAAACACAACGCTGTGGTTGTTTCACGCCGGTTATATGTGAGGCCGTGGCATCACTCCGGTCGAGCCGACCCATTCGTGCCGAAGCATGGCTCTCCCACAATTATTTAAATACGTTGGTAGACTTTTAGGCGCCCAGGGTAAGGCGAGAGAGAGTGTCAGACTCTTACTGACTAAAAACCCCCCTGTTCCTTCTCCTGCTCTGGGCCGAGGTCGCGGTGCCTCATTGCGCTTACGCCGCAACCCCGGCTAAACATCAGCCCTATTGGGCCCCGACTGTGACCTTGGTAGGCTTGACGTATTTAAATAATTATTTTCCGCGTTAATACTCGCGTAACTATACGTTATAAGTATGAAACGCGAAAGTTTAATAGTTAGTATGTATGTATGTATGTATGTATGTATGGTACCTGCAACTCGAGCAGCGCGGGCGGAGGCTGGCTGACTGCCTTGTCGACGTCGGCGCGGCCCAGCAGGATGGCGGGCCGCTCCCATACCGACGAGTGCGCCGCCGAGTTGTAGAAGAACACCGACCCGTCCCCCGTCCATACCACGCACCTGGAAACATATCGATTCATTAATACAATCTATACTAATACTCCAGACACGTCAGCCGAATGCATCCAGAGAGATGGACCACTATTGTAACCCAGTGGACACCTCAGGATGGAAGCTGCAGGCGGGGTAGGCCCCGGAAAAGATGGCGTGACGATCTAGACGCCTATCGTCGAGACTGGTGGACACGGTCGAAGGATCGGGAGGTGTGGAAGCGAGATGGGGAGGCCTTTGCCCAGCAGTGGGACATTATAGGCTAGTAAAAAAAAAATACTAATACTAGCGGGAACCCTTCACATATCAAACAGCGAAATCGTTAGGGCCGTTTCCGAGATCACTCGTGTCTGTGAATCTAAACCTGCCATACTCAACATATGGCCTACCAGGCCTATATCAGTGGCTCGCGCACCCGTGTCAACTTTATATTTACGAACGAATTCACTGCAAAACCAAAGTCCCACAGGCACGCTGACGGCCTTTTGTGAGAAAGGGGAGAGGAGGAAAAAGGGGGGTTGGTATCACTCCGGTCGGGCGGGCTCTCCTACAGTATTTTTTGCTGGCGACCCGCGACACCATGACCGTACTGTTATAGGCTCCCATCCTTCGCCTATTTGCTGACTAAGTCCTGATTCCACTCCCTTCTCCTTCCAAGCTATCTCCTTACACACAACCTCTCTTCAGTCTACATCCATAACCCAATACAGACGGTTGTTTTATAAAAATCCAATTTTCGTTTTATTTTCTAGTTTAATATAAATTCTATTTTTTTTTAAAAGACCTTTAACAAAGTCCGTATAACAGTACGTATTTGTGGCCCGTATATAAAAAAGGTTTAGTACCAATGATCTAAACTATCCAGGGGAAAATCATTAAATGACTTTCCCCGCTCAGGTTAAAGCGAGGAGAGTGTCAGACTCTTACTGACTAAAAACCCCCCGTTCCTTCTCCTGCTTTTAGGCCGAAGCCGCGGTACCTTATTGCGCTTACCCCACAACCGGTTAGATATCAATGTTTTTAATATTGTTTTTAAATAACCTTGCCCTAAACAAGGATTTTCTCCTGCGTTTATAAACATACAATTTCACATACACATCACACCCAGATTCATGAACAACAAATTGTGGATTACACAAAAAGTTGTTCCGTGCGGGGATCGAACACGCGACACGTTGCACGGCAGCCAGTTGGCCAGCCACAGCACTAAGCGTGCAATCAACGTGAACTGCTTACTCTTGTCACTGTTTGACGAAGAACTCGACTAGTTTCTAACCACGTCGGGGGCTTATATTCAGTGAATCTGACACTACCGCATGGCTAGGCGGTAAAAGTAACAGATCCTTCCCTCCCCCACTAAAAAAAGTAAGTTGTTTCTTAACACTTAAACCGTCGCGTACGTCACCAGTGATCTACGGTAGTGAAAGATTTCCTTGCAATAGTATTCCATCGGTAGTCATGTTAGTCAGTTAGAAAGCTACGAACCAGGGCGTGCCAAGAATGGGGGTGCTGGATATGGGTCTGCTGCGGTCCTGCTTGGCTTTATCCTTGTCTTTCTCCTTCTCCTTCTCCTTGTCAGCGCTGGGCTTGTCCGCAGCGGCGTCCTGCCTGGCGGCGGAGGGCGCGGAGGGCGCGGAGGGCGCGCGAGTGTCGCGCTGCGCGGCGGCGGCGGCGCGCTCGGCCTCCGCCGCCGCCTGCGCCTCCGCGTGGGCCTCCACGTCGATCACTGATACATAAAACTAAACTATTACATTGTCCCCAACAAATCTATACTAATATTATAAACAGGTAAAATTTGTATGTAGAGGGTAATCTTTGGAACCGCTGGTCGGATTGTCAAAATTCTTTCACTGATACATAGCTACAATGTTCCTGAGTGCTATAGGCTATAAAACATCACGCTACGATCAAATGGAGCCGAGCAGCGAGTGAAACCGCGCAAGAGTAGCTAGTAAAACATAAAACAAATTGTGTTTCGCCTTGTGAATGAGATTACCGTAGACTCAATCCTTTTTCCAAACACCCAATTTCTGAATCTCCCAATCCCTAATCCCCAAAAGTTCGGCGACGCACTCGTAACTCCTCCGTTGTGGGTGTCCATGGGTGATGCTGATTGCTTTCCATCAGGTAATCCGTCTGCTCTTTTGCCGACGTACTTTTATCATAAAAAAACATACCTTCAATTTTGCCTTCATCCACATCCATTTTCTTTTCGTTTTTCTTTTCAACTGGCTCGCCCTTCTCCAACGCTATTTTAGCACGTAATTCTGTGTAAAAAGACATCATATTAGAATCTTCATAACGCATATTTCAATGTTGAAACAACCATAGCTTTGTTTCAACGAGTGAGGTCAAAGACAAAGTCAAAATCATTTATTCCAACTAAACCATAAATAGGTACTTTTGAAACGTCAAAATAGAATAGTAGTCTGTCAGTCTGTTCGTCAGTGAAGCTAGGTGCTCGTTCCAAATAGTAGGTTACCGGAAGCCCAATCTTTTCCCTCCCCCAATCTAGAAATCTCCTAAACCCTTATCTAGTGTTAATTGCTTACCATCAGATATCATCATCAGCCTATAAGCACTCACTGCTGAGCAAAGGCCTCTTCTCACACGGAGAAGGTTTAAGCATTAATCACCACGCTTACTCAATGCCGGTTAGCGATTTCAAACTTATGATTAAAAATTACAAATCCAGGTTTCCTCACGATGTTTACCTTCACCATATGTCAGTGGTGTCTAAATAATCATAGAAAGTACATATAACTCGGAAAAAGTCACATTGGTACTTGCCAGGTTTCGAACCGTCATGCATGAGAAGCGGGAGCCTTAAACCTCCGGGCCACCGCATACCATCAGGTAATCAGTTATCAAAGTGACACTTTTGAGATAATAAAGTTTATATTTTAAATAGTCTTTGCTAATTGATATTTCAGTTTGTTGATTTGGAAATCGATTCAAATGGATTGGATTCATTTTAAGTTATAAAGGTGCTTCTACACAGCAGTTATATAACGTTATTCACATCACATTACATTTATAACAGCGTGTAACAATATTCTACAACATGTTAAGAAATGTTATATGTTATAAACACTCCCAAATTAGTTGAACTCGTTGTATAACATTATGTTCAATCAGTTCGGGTTTGTCTTTCGAGGAAGGTGGTAGTGAACCAATAATGGAGAAAGTGCTAATAGGTTTGGCGTTTACTTTTTGTTTGAGAAAAAAGAAGAAAAGGCGCTTTAACTGGATGCGTCGAACTCTGAAAGCGAGAGAACAATACAGTGCTACAGAATATTTGGAAGATTTGGGCCTTGATGGCTGTTTGAACAATTTTTTAAGAATGTAAATCAGTTGTAAAACATTTTGTTAAATGAAGTTGTATAACATCAATAACAATTTTTTTTTTATGTAATAGCTCGGCAAACGAGCAGACGGATTAGCTGATGGTAAGCAATCAGCGCCGCCCATGGACACTCGCAACGGAGGAGTTACGAGTGCGTTGCCGACCTTTTAGGGATTAGGGATTTTGGAGATTTAGGGATTGAGGAGGGATTGGGGAAGGGGAAGGATTTATTATAATTTGTAACAATTTATAACTTTTGTTATAATTTGTTTAAAAAACTCAGTCTCTAGCGTTATATAACTGCTGTGTGGGAGCACCTTTTCACTTATGAAATTATATAACTTAGTAAGATGTTGATTCGTGTGTAAACAACAGTATACCTTCGAGTTCCTTCATGGGCTTGGGTTTCTCCCAGACGCTCTCCTGCTTGGCGGCGTTGTAGTAGTAGGGCCGGCCGTCCGGCGCGCGGTGCGTCGTCCACTCCGACGCCGCAGACACCAGCTCGGGGGTGATCACCTGCAGACCAGGCGCTCATACTTAACATCATTCATCCCAACTACATACAAACCATAAATAGGTACTTTTGACACGTCAAAATATAATAGTAGTCTGTCAGTCTGTTCATCGGTGAAGGTAGCTCGTTTTTTTTCTTTTTAAAAAACGTTTACCCACATTAGGATTTTCTCCTGAATCGGTTACAAACATACAATTACACATCACACCCAGACCCGGAACAATAATTTGTGGATCACACAAAGAATTGTTCCGTGCGGAAATCGAACCCACGACACGTTGCACGGCAGCCAGTTGCCCAGCCACCGCACCAATCGTGCAGTCGTTCCAAATTGTAGATTCGAATGGAGAAGAACGAGCAAGAAACTAAATCGTTTCCGCTTCACTGACGAACAGACTGACAGACTACTATTCTATTTTGACGTTTCAAATTTATGGTTTAGTTGGAATAAATTATTTTGACTTTGACTTTGAAAAAAACTAAATATTATGACTTATTAGATGTCGCAGCTATCGATTGCTTACCATCAGGTAAATCTAAAAAAAGTAGTAACAGTAATATAACTCACAAGTTCCTCCTTCTTGGGTGGTTGTTGCAATGGTGTGGGGGAATCGGAGATGAGGGTTGGTTCTGATGAGGGACTGGTCGCGCGACCTCCCAGCGGCTGCGTCGCTGCATCTGTAAGATAAGGTCGAATTAAGTTCCGAACTTGACAAGGCTCGACCGGAGTGATAGTAGTGATACCACGGCCTTTTTTTATATATAATAGTTTGGCAAACGAGCAGACGGATTACCTGATGGTAAGCACTCAGCGCCGCCCATAGACACCCACAAGTAACTAGTAAACAACAATTTGTGGATCACCCAGTGTTATTCCGTGGGGGAATCGAACCCGCAACACGTTTGTTAGCAGAAAGTTTCCTAGCCACTGCGCCAACCGTGCAGATTTGAAAAAATATTTTACTTTTGGGAAAATACTCTAGCCAGGTGAATCACTACATAGTATAAAACAAAGTCGCTTTCTCTGTCCCTATATCCCTATGTACGCTTAAATCTTTAAAACTACGCAACGGATTTTGATGCGGTTTTTTATAGACAGAGTGATTGAAGAGGAAGGTTTACATGTATAATAACATCCATTAAATAGTGGAGTAATTTAGTATCAGTATTGCACCCGTGCGAAGCCGGAGCGGGTAGCTAGTAGGCAATAAACTACGCGAACGAAACCGCATAGCACAGCTAGTATAAAAAAGTTAAAGAGTTTGTTTGAACGCGCCTATCTCAGGAACAACTGGTTCGAATTGAATAATTCTTTTTGTATTGTAAAATGCACTTAACGAGGAAGCCTATAGGCTTAAATAAAAAAATCTGCACTGTGTGTGTATGTGTGCCAAACAAATATTTTTCTTGCTTTCTTTCTAAAACATCTAGGACCTATTAGTAGCTAGGTAAAAATAACTTACTAGAATCAGGAACAGCAGCATTATTCATATTGGGGGGTGGTTGGCCCACTAGTGGGGGTGGCCAACTGGACCAGGCTGGCCAACCAGCTGGGGGATAGCCAGCGCCGTATCCGCTGTACGCGCCCGGGGGGCCCGCGTTAGGTCCCGGTCCCGGACCTGCTGCACCCGGGGGCCCGTTATTGGGACCCGGGAACATGTTACCTGCGGGTACAGTTTCAAGTTAATAAATATTTATGAGTTCGTTTCCTTTCACGGGATCACAGGATCCCGGACCTTTGGAAGACGTACGAGGGGCCGAAGCCAACCCGCAGAGGCCCTTTGAACTACTTTAATATTAGTGAAATGGAACATCAGCCGGCAATTATCCCTGTATGCACTATGAAAGTGCACCCAAGGATTATCCCCCGTTGATGCAGAACTATTGTGAAATGTAAGTAAGAAATGTAAGGTAATAATTGAAAGGACATGGGTTGCTACATTATGAATTTTATCACAACTGACTACATGATGTAACAAAAAAATGAATTGTAAAACTGATTGAAAATGAGTAACCATGGAGTTTCTTGCACGTTCTCCTTCATAGGAATGAACACTTTGGAACGAGTAAATAGCTTCACTAGAGGACAGACTGACACATGTAAAGTTTCATGCATGTGCATAATTATGCATGATTGCATAGGGTGGGATTGCATCCCGCAACAAGCCTGGATTTTAGTCGCAGAATTAAAACTAGATATTTTTCATAACATTTAATGTCACGGATTTTCACAAAGTAACGCCTGATTCTAAAGTTTATCTTTGATAGGCCTTAATAAAGGGTCTGGTCCATTATGTCTGAATGACTTTTTACTTTCTATGATGATTCAGACAACACAGACATATGGTGAAGGAAAACATCCTGAGGAAACATGGACTTATAATTTATTATAATCTTAAAATCGTCAATCCGCCTTGAGCGAGCGTGGTGATTAATGCTCAAACCTTCTTAATAGGAAATAATTTATTAAAACTATGTGACACATAAGTCTATCGAGATATTATATGGAGGAGGTTAAATAGGCGCCATAGGCCGGAACTCGATAGATATTTTTAACAGTAAATTTTTTATTGTGATCTGTATATCAGGTCGCATGATCACAACATCAAAAAAGTCTGATTTGAATTAATTATAATACTTATTTAAGTATTATAATTAATTCAAATATTTCAAAAAATAATGTCGTGGTGGCCCAGATGTTAAGGCGCCCGCTTCTCATGCATGAGGATGCGGGTTCGAAACCTGACAAGTACCAATGTGACTTTTTCCGAGTTATATGTACTTTCTATGATTATTTAGACACCACTGACATACGGTGAAGGTAAACATCGTGAGGAAACCTGGACTTATAATTTGTAATTATAAGTTTGAAATCGCCAATCCGCATTGAGCAAGCGTGGTGATTAATGGTCTAACCTTCTCCGTTTGAGAAGAGGCCTTTGCTCAGCAGTGGGCACTTATAGGCTGATGATGATGATGATGATTTATTAAAGTATTTGACGAATTCTTGTATCAAGAGAGGGAGTGCTCAAACATTCTTCGTGTGAGAAGAGGCCTTTGCTCAGCAGTGGGCACTTAAGGGCTGATGATGATGATGATGTATCTTACCATTTGGAGTAGGTTGTATAGGTGCACTCTCACCGGGAGGAAGCTCATCATTCTCCGCTGGACTCTCTTCTTCCTTATCCTTTGAACCTGAACAATCAATACATTATTATAAAACCAACCGAGTACTTCTTTATTTCAAAGTAAAAGTGATATTATTAAAACTAATTTAAGGCACTTCTGAACTTAAAACAAAATAAAGTGTCAGTCTGTTTTTTTTTATGTAATAGCTCGGCAAACGAGCAGACGGATTACCTGATGGTAAGCAATCAGCGCCGCCCATGGACACTCGCAACGGAGGAGTTACGAGTGCGTTGCCGACCTTTTAGGGATTAGAGATTTGGAGATTGAGGAGGGATTGGGGTAGGGGAAGGATTGGGCCTCCGGTAACCTCACTCACACGGCGAAAAACAACGCAGTGGTTAATTCACGCCGGTTTTCTGTGAGGCCGTGGTATCACTCCGGTCGAGCCGACCCATTCGTGCCGAAGCATGGCTCTCCCACACTACCACCAAATAGCTTCACTAGAGGACTGACCCGACAGACTGACACACAAAATTTTTGATTTTTGTTTGATGTTCTAAAGTGGTTATAGTGGTCTATTAGAAATGATGAATTGACTTTGACATTGAATACTTGAAAATAAATAAAAACTGACAATAAACTAAATTTTATTACATCAAGTTAGAAATCTTTATAAAAACAAATGTCTATCAAGTGTTTAAAAGATCAGGAACTTAACAATTTAAGAGACATTGTTATGTTTTTAGAGTGACGTCCTACAGGTTAACATTTATTGTCACAGTACAGAATACACAGTGTACAGAATTATAGCTCAAACGGTTGAAGATATCTGCTTCAATATATTGTTTCAAGATTATAATCTTCTCCACAAACAAACAACCTAATATTATAAAGAGGTAAAATTTGTAACTTTATATGTAGGGAACATCTGGTCAGCTTGCCAAAATTCTCTCACTGATAGGTAGGTACAATGTTCCCGAGTGCAATAGTCTATAAAACATCACGCTACGACCTATAGGATCGGAGTAGCGGGTGAAACCGAGCGAAAATAGCTAGATCAAAAAACTCACCTCCTTCTTTCACCCATGGGGGTGGTTGTGACATAAATGGAGGCACGTTCCCTGTAGGGGGTGCATTGTGTACTCCAGGGGGCATGACATTCGACATGACACCATTCGGCATCATACCCATGGGACCCGCCATCGGGCCCCCGCCACCCATGGGCCCGTTCATAGGTACTGACTGGGGCCCACCCATGTTCATTGGACCGCCTGTTGGGAAAACCATACCTATATTGGCAAAAACATGAAAATATGTTTAATACATTAATTTTTATATTCACAACACGCCTTTCGTCCTCCAAGAGAGCGTACATACACCTACCACCACCCAATTTTGTTGCCCTTAAAAAAAATAATTAAAAAACCTAATAATATTGAGTGAAAACGATCCATTTCATCTGTGTTTGATAAACTTAGATTTAAAACAACTATACTATCACATACACCAAACAGCCAGGCTCGGAACAAAATTTGTCGATCACACGACGAGTTGATCAGTGCGGGAGTCGAACCCATAACACATTGCACAATATGTGGTTGCCAGCCACTGCGTCAACTGTGCTGTTTTATTCATTAAATTTAATAATAACTAGCGGCCCGCCCCCGCTTCGCACGGGTCCAATTATCTCGCTATCAAAGGGTCACTTTTTCCTAATCTTCCCCTTTACTTTTCTAATATTTTCTTTGATAAGAACCTTCTCCTGACAATAGCAAACACAACAAAAAAAGAATTAGCAAAATTGGTCCAGGCGTTGTTGAGTTATGCGCTTACCAACACATTTTGCGATCCATTTTTATATATAAGATAAGATAATAGCCATACCTGAAGAGACCATAACTTCCATGTCAGATTGTGATATAACTTTGCAGGTGGGGCCCTCCTGTGGGCGGGTCCAGGTTGTCTCCCGAGTCCTGGAGTGGTAGTAATAGGGTTTGCCTTCATCTGACTTGGTTTCCACCCATAGCTCTGGTGCCGGCTGCTAGACATGAGAGATAATCTTTTAATGCATCAATAAAACTAATGACATAAAAAACTAATAACTTTATCTACATGTCACAATGAACTCTACAAGAATCTATTTATACTCACCATGTTAGGAGGTGGCATGCCAGGCGGGCCACCAAACGGCGGTGGCTGACCCATCATATTCGGAGGGGGGCCCATCGGACCACCAGGGGGCATCATGCCAGGCGGGGGCCCGAACGGAGGGGGCCCACCCATCATACCAGGAGGGGGCCCGCCCATCATCCCCGGCGGAGGAGGGCCCATTGGGCCCCAATTGTTATCGAAATTGGGTCCATTGTTTGGTCCAAAACCACGTGGGCCTCCACGGCCTCTGAAGAATCCTCGTCCACGCATCGGGGGGCCTCCTGGTCCGTATCCGCGTCCTCTAAACCTCATAGGGGGCCCATTCATCCAGCCAGGCGGGGGACCACGGCCTCTGCTTCTGTCAAAATAAAACCGTGTTACATTGTTTGCGACTACAGCACAGAGACACATACAAGTAACTAAATATATCGTAAAAAAATGCCGTAATGGCCCAGAGGTGCTTGATGACGCGAGTTAGAAACATTACAAACGCGAAAGTTTGTAATTATGGATGGAAAAGTACTGAACCACACAGGAGCAAATATACAATTAAACCCTCATTCCTCACCTATTATTTATGAGCCCCATGTAATATTGGGTGAGCCTAATGGCTCATTTTAATAATTATAACATTTCGCATTTTTTAAAAAAGAAAACATTGCCCAACACTTGCATTTTCTCCTGTGTCGTGGGTGCGGTTACGAAGATACAATTTCACAGACACAACAGTTTGTGGATAACACAAAGAGTTGTTCTGTGCGGGAATCGAACCCGCGACACGTTGCACAGCAGCCAGTTGTCCTAGCCACCGCATCAACCGTGCAACAGTCAAAATTTAAAATATTTATTGTACGAGAGACTGTTCATGGCAAAATATTTGATAAATCGCTTTTACATACACAGTTTAATATGAAATACATTTTTTATGGAATAAGTCAACAAACAAGTATACGGATTACCTGATGGAAAGCAACCACGCACATAAATTCAAAGTTGTTGCCATATTTTTACAGCTGTATTACAAAAAATTGTTTTTCTTAAACCATTGAACTAGTTTTTGTATTTCAAAGTGAAGTTAAGTGAAAATAAGATTCAAAATACAAAAAATAACTCAAGCAATGGTTTAAACCTAGACTAAGGATAGAACTTGTTAAGAAACAAGGGTGTTATAATTTGTTATTTTAGCTATGGCAAAAGGATTAACTGATTTGGATTGATATCTCCTGTTTAAGTTTCTTAGTACAAACTATTAACTTCTGAACCAACCAACCTGGTTTAAGCGAGCACAGAAGCAAAATGTCTAATTTCAGAGAGGAATACAATTTAAAATCATACATTTAAGTGTGGGAGAGCCATGCTTCGGCACGAATCGGTCGGCTCAACCGGAGTGATACGCCGCGGCCTCACAGAAAACCAGTCTTCTCATGCGAATTTGAAACCAAGCAAGTAGCTAAATATATTTGACAACACCAACATAATTATGGTGAAGGACAAACCTGTCAAGAAACCTGGGCTTATAATTTGTAAATTAAGTTTAAAATCGCCAATCTACTTTGAGCAAATGTTGTGATTAAGGTGAGAAGAGGCCTTTGCTCAGCAGTGGGCACTTATAGGCTGATGATGTGATATGTGATTACGTCTATGACTTATGCAATTAATGATGATTCTACTATTACATATACACCTGAAAAACTGTCACTGAACAGACTGATACTAAAATCAGTATAGTACTCTGGACTACTATAGGACTTTAATCAATACTATCCATACATAGACCCCATGAAATTCTGATAACCATTACAAGGAGGCATTCCAAGTTTGGAACAGAAATATTAATATTTTGCATCTGCCAGCATTAGTACTAGGGTAAACAGTAGCCTATATTTTTTCCCAGACAATAATCTATCTCCGTACCAAATTCCATTCAGATTCGTTCAGTAGTTTTTACATAAAAGAGCAACAGACATCCATCCGTACTTCAAAGTTTTGTGTTTATAAATATCAGTAGGAAGTAGGATCATTGTACTGTGTGGCATGAATGGGTCGGCTCGACCGGAGTGATACCACGGCCTCACAGAAGACCGGCGTGAAACAACCACAGTGTTGTGTTTCGCCGTGTGAGTAAGGTTACCGGAGGCCCAATACTTCCCCGGCCCCAATCCCTCCTCAATCCCTAAATCTCCAAATCCCTAATCCCTAAAGGTCGGCAACGCGCTCGTAACTCGGTGTCCATGGGCGGCGCTGATTGCTTACCATCAGGTAATCCGTCTGCTAGTATGCCGACCAATTACATAAAAAAAAAAATACTAAGAATATTATAAACTTGAAATATTTGATATAGAATTACATATAGGTTTCTTTTTAAACAGGAACTGCATGTAAAGCCGTTGGCAGAAGTTTGTATCTTCATAAACTCTTTGGTACAGTTAAAGTATATATATGTAAATACTAGCGATCCATCCTGGCTTTGCGCGGGTGCTATGGTTATACTAAATTTCACAACAAGTTAATGGATGTTATTATAAATATAAACCTTCATCTTTAATCACTTTATCTATTAAATAAAATAGCATCAACATTTGTTGCATAGTTTTGCAGATTTAAGCATACATAGGGATACAGGGACAGAGAAAGCGACTTTGTTTTATACTATGTAGTGATTTTTTACTCATTCCAATGAATTAGTATGATAAATTGATAGAATTAATAAATACTACCATTAAATAACTTGTTTTACATCATTGAGAATCAGCTTATAACTAATTAGAGTCATTTCGATTGTTTTATAACAATTGCGAAATCAAAATATACTCGGAGAGTTTCAAACATACATTCTGCGTCCAAAGTTGGGATGAGCGGGAAATTGCAAGGGCGATGCCAAGTGGATAAGTTACTGCATATAGTGGTCAAGCATACAGATTAAAATTATAATAATTAGACAGCATAGCATTAAAATAAATCCAAGACTAATGTTTCTTAAATTTTGAGCAGATCAACTAAAGATTGGTACATTACTTCTAATATTTAGATTTGAAAGGTTCAAATATATAAATTAAGTAATAATTTAGCTACTAGAAGGCCCTTTTTTACTAAATTTTTGCCAAAATCTACGCCAGCAATGTTAATTCCAACACCCACAAGTCACTCAAGGTCTTACAACAAAATGTGTTAATTTACACATACATCAAGCGCCAAAACAATAAAGAAACATTTTAAAATGATATTTAAACATTAATTCGTTATCTAGACTGTGAATTTCATTAAATTTATCAGGAAATTTGAAAAAATACTTGTAAATGGTACATCCGAGTACATGGTTTTTTTTTAATAAAATGGGTATTTTTACCTGAAGCTACCGCGTCCTCGGCCTCCACGGAAGCTGTTCCCGCCTTCCTCGTCCTCGTAACCCTCGTCGTAAGCCACTACATCACCAAAGTCTTTAGCACCATCCACTATATTTTCATTTCCCTCATTAGCACGATTCACCACATCGTTCACAACTGGGTCCTGGGTTTCAATATTATATTCCTCTTCCATTATAATATAATCACTACAGAATCAATAAAAACTTAACAAGTCCTCATAATAATCAATTTATTTGCTAAAATGAAGACACATTTCGTTGATGAGGAAATCAACAATGTCGATCTAAGATGGCGGCCGGCGGCTTGCCTACTAGTGCTTGACGCAGCTGTCTGTTATTCTACGGTTGTTGAATCGATATCGATTTTACGGTATTTATAGAATGCAAGTACAATATTGGTTGGGTTGCAGGTGAGGAATAATAAAGAGAAAAATGTAGAAAACCGTTCGATTATCACTTATTAATACCTATATATTTAACGATAAATTATCTTATTTCGTTAATTACGGTATGATTTTTTTTTTAGGTTTTGAATACTATTTATCTATCGTTATAAGAGTGGAGCCACCATTCATAAATAAATTAATTCGTTCTTTTTATCTTTCAACTATTGTTTTACTAATAAACTTATACGAATACTGTTTTTGTTGTAGATAATAAAGTGGGCAATGCTAAACTTTTTGTAATAAATTATGCAAATCTGAGTTATATATAACTAGCCTATACTAATATTATAAAAAGGTAATCTTTGGAACCGTTGGTAGGATTGCCAAAATCTTTCACTAATAGATAGCTACAATGTTCCTGAGTGCTATTAAATGGAGCCGAGCAGCGTGCGAAACCGAGAAAGCGAGAGTAGCTAGAAGGTAAAAAAATAATTTTAATAGGTAATATTTGGGACACATAGAGTACCTGGCGCAAACTGTTCATGTACTCATTGATGTAAAAATCTTATACATGCCAGCAAAGTGTTTGGACGCGCAGACCTCGTTGCACATTAACGCCACCTGTCTGTTAAGTATGAAAACGGCACCTCGATAACTGCAATCTCTTTGAAATTCTTGATGGATCTTAATTTCGATTCCTGAGTCGTACATACGTATCGTTTTCTAGCTTTGGGGGACAATTCCACCATAAACTGATCAGATGATTTATTTTAATGCGAAACTGACCTAGATACTAAACATGAAATAACCGAAATCCTGAAATCCGGTTCGTCGCAGGTACATGAATATCTCCAAGACGAGTGTTGGAGAGCCATACAAGTGCGGCAGAACCATGCTTCGACATGACTAGGTTGGCTCGGCCGGAGTGATACCACGGCCTCACAGAAAACCGCCATGAAACATCCACACAGCGTTGTTTCGCTATGTGAATAAGGTTACCGGACGCCCAAGCCTTCCCCATCCCCAATCCCTTCCCAACCCCTAAGATTGCACGGTTGGTGCGGTGGCTGGGCAACTGACTGCCGTGCAACGTGTCGCGGGTTCGATCTGGGTGTGAAATTATATGTTTATAACCGCACCCACGACACAGGAGACAAAATGGTGTGTGTGTGAGTGTGTGTGTGGAGTGGGGCAACGTTTAAAAAAAACCCAAAAACTCCAAATATCCCCAAAAGGTCGGCAACGCACTCGTAACTCCTCTTTTGTTGCATTGTCCACGCTGATATTACTTACCATCAGGTAATCCGCCTGCTCGTTTGCTGTCGATAAACGAGCACGAGAAAGCGGAGGAAACGGACATTAATTTTAAACGGACATTAAATAAATAAATAAATAATAAAAAAATAAAAGTTGGGGGACCTTAATACTTTTTAATGGCTCCTTAGTTTTTTCTCGGGGGTTTTTTATTTAATATTTTTTATAGGTATTTTATATTATTTTATATTGCTAAGAGCACTCTCGATTAAGTCATAAACATTTCCTTTCAGTGCATGTTCATTTAAGACCCCACTCGAGTATATTTGCAGACCTTCGGTTACCCTTCCCCACTTACACCCCCACAACTTCTCAAACGATTTTCATCAAACATGTCTAAGATTACTCGCACATAAATCATCTTTAACAAAAATAAAACTAAATTGAAATCGCTTCCTCCGTTCAGGCTCCAGGAAGCCACAGACAGACAGACAAACAGACACGTCAAACTTATAACACCCTCTTTTCCCGTCGGGGGTTAAAAAGGAGAGTCTTCTGGAGATATTGTATGATGAACAAAAGGTTTCACTTTCACGGTGTTTTTTTTATGGAATAAGTCGGCGAACGAGCAGACGGATTACCTGATGGTAAGCAAACGGCGCCGCCCATGGACACCCGCAACACCAAAGGAGTTACGAGTACGTTGCCGCCCTTTTTGGTATAAGGGATGCAGGTATAAGGATTGGGAAGGTATAGGTGAGGGGGAGGGATTGGTTATTGATCCGGTATCCGGAACCTCACTCACACAGCGAAACGTAACGCTGTGGCTATTTCACGCTCTGTGTGGTGTGGGTATCACTCCGCCAACCTATTCGTGCCGAAGCTTGGCTTTCTCACACATTCCCCACCTCCGCTTCCTAAGGTCTAATCAAGTGGGGGGACTAGGGAAGGGAGTGGAGCTGGCCCTCCACATAGTTTTCCAGAACACGATTAGTATTGCATGATTTCGTTTAGAACATATAAACTTTGGTCGCTCTTTGCCCACCGTACACCTCTCGTGGGACCACCTAGGTATGCAGCGCGAAGTTTTGTTTTACTGTACAGTTCACCTTTGTTCACCTGGGTGTACCGTGCGAAATATAAAATTTCCTCCGTCTATTTTAAAGAGCAGAGAGATTAATGATTAACACATTATGGACGTCATAACTCAGTGTTTCATAGCAAAAGTATCGTTTTTGACATTTGGATAAAAGGATTGAATTTGACAAGTTGGAAATTACCATATTGTTACCGAAAGGTCAAACGGAAATTTATAAAGAATATAAATTGAGCGTTAAGCGTCATAGCGACATTTATTTTAAGAAAGCAAATTCGACGAAGAATGCCAGATTTGGGAAAAAGAAAATGCTTTTTTTTTGTGAGGGGAAAATCAAATGACTTCTCCCGCCCAGGGTCAGGCGGTAGGGAGTGTCAGACTCTTACTGACTAAAAACCCCCCTGTTCCCTACTCCTGCTCTAGGCCGAGGTCGCGGTGCCTCATTGCGCTTACCCCGCAACCCCGGCTGAAGAAAAAGAAAATGCTTGGCTTTTGCACCACAAAATTCTCCTCTGTCTTCTACAGATTGAAAACGGGTGCCATTTTTTTTGTGAGGGGAAAATCATCAAATGGCTTCTCCCGCCCAGGGCCGGGCGGGAGGGAGGGAGTGCCAGACTCTTACTGACTAAAAACCCTCCTGTTCCTTCTCCTGGGCCGAGGTCGCGGTGCCTCATTGCGCTTACCCCGCAACCCCGGCTGAACATCAGCCCTTTAGGGCCCCGTCTGTGGTGGTCTATTGGCTCTTTGAGGCGCGCGCGGAACGCTACGCGCCGTACGCTCGGGTCTGGTTCTGGTCGGGCGACGAGCTGCCCTTACTCACCGACCGCAGACCCGTGCTTACGGTGGCCGGAGATCACTTCCCGAAAACGGGTGCCATGAAGTGGTAATTTGAGTTCAGGAAAAAGATAGAATTCGGCTGGACCCATATCTGGCAAATACGGTGGCTGTTCGATGGTATTTGTTGAGTGTTGTTACAATTATGTTGTTACAATATTACAATTATGGATTGATGGCAATGAAGGCATGCGGCTTCGCACAAGGCCACCGGAGCAGTCACCATATTGGTACAATGAAAGAAAGGTTTTTCATGTCTAGAACAAGAACAGATCGAAACAGCTGATTAAGGCTGGCCGCATACACACGTTTTACGTATTCGATTTCCTAATGCGGAATTTCGATTTGGAATTCCGTGAGACTAGCGCAAACGTTCGTTTTTCTTCATTCGGAATGTATACACGTCAGTATAGATAGTGATAGCGTAGTGAACGCACGACGATGGAGGACGACGATTTATTAGCAATTGCATTTCTGTTGACAATAAAGAAGAAAAAGAAACGTCGGTATTGGGTACATCCATTGAATACTCGGAGAATCTACGAGAGTTCGTTTTATCTGAAGAGAACTAAGTTACGAGCACACCCAGATAAATTCTTTGATTTCTACAGGATGTCAATAAATTCTTTTGATGAACTTCATAATGGCATACGTGATAAATTAATAAAGCAAAATACCTCCATGAGATTATCCTTGGATACAGAAGAAAAACTAACCGTAACCTTGAGGTAAGTTCTCTTTATTTTTACATCTATATTTACAAAAATAACAAATCAACTATCTTAGTTAAACTTTAGGTATTTGCCAATATTATCTTCCTGTTCTTGTCCTTGAGATTGTACAACTAAAAAACTTGCAGCTTCGGTATCTTCGGCATGTTGAAGATTAGGTGATGTGTAGTGATGACGTGGTGGTTGAAGCGGTGGCAGATGTCTAATAGAGTTAATAACCACTCTGGAATTGTTTGGGGCAGATTGATAATTAGTGATTTTATTTTGCGAAGAAGATGTACTAATAAAGGTGGGCAATGGAGTTTCTGGTACAGGAATATATGAAAAAGAGGGGGAATAATCACGGCTTGATGCCGGCGTTTCTGAACGGTGACTGAAGTTATCATAACTCAGTGAAGAAGATGGAGATGAATTGTACTCAGTATTGATTTTTTTTACCAACTGCAACATTCCCAATTTAAAATCAATTTTTTGATTTTCATTCATATGTTTCATATGTGTTCTAAAGCTCAATAAAAATTTCATGTCGTCGTCTTCTACTTCTTGTTGTTTCTGATTGGCTTTCTGTTGATTTTGATGTAGGATACTGAGTATTTGGGAGGGGATATCTTTTTTGTTTCGTTTTAAACTACTTGCAGGTGGAGTTGATACAGGTGATGGAGGTTGTAATATATTTGTATGGTGATCTATTTGTTCCACGCTGTGTTCTTGCGTTTCAGATTCTTGTGAACTATTATTGTGTAAATCATCGAATTGATAGTTTCCTTCGGTATTTCTTTTATCGAATACCGGTATAAGAAAATACAACAGGTCTGCATAAACATATTTTTTAACCTTTTTAGCGGCACTGCCTGTAGGAGCGCTTTTATTTTTTTGAAAGTCTCTTCGAAAGTAGTCTCTTATGTGTGTCCATTTTTTCTTTGCCTCAGCACCTGAAATGTAATTAATATTATTTTATATCTTTTTTTCAGATTCCTGGCAACGGGTAAAAATTTTGAAGAGTTACACTTTGAATATTT